AGGGAGGGAGGGAGGAAGGGAGGGGGGAGGGAGGAAGGGAGAGGGGGAGGGAGGAAGGAAGGGAGGGAGGAAGGAAGGGAGGGAGGGAGGGAAAGAAGGAAAATATTGCCATAATTCTACCACCTAGAGATTGATCAATATTTTGTTGGCATAACATCTCTCATTCTTTTATTATGAAGATGTGTTCATGTATCTAGGCTAAGTATACTATCTATTTTACATATTCTTTAAATAAAATTGAAATCTGCTTTTGCACTCGACAATGCATTTTGAACATCTTTTTATGTCAACAGATGTCCTTCTCAAACATTCTAGGTGGCTGGAATAACATTTCTACTGACATTACTTTAAAAAGCATCTTCTTTCATCAATTCAGGCTTCCATAATTATGGGTTAAAAATAATAAATCCAGTTCTCTGGAGGCTTTCATTCTAAATAAAGAATTTTGCCAGAACGTGCATCCTGGTGAACGTATTTCAGGGACTACTTCTGGGTTGACATTTCTCATGTTATTTCACATTCTGGATTAAGACACATCTCATATGGTTTTGATTTATATTCTCAGCAGACTTCAAAAAGGAAATTCCAAATGGAAGTTTATTTCTGCACCAGAACTATGTTTAAATGATGCTACAGGGATGTCTTAAACTAACAGAAGCCAGGAAATTCAAAGCTAAGGTCCTGGACCATGTTCCCATCTTTTCCTTCTTGAATGTCTTAGGTGTCTGGAAAGTGGAGATTTTATGTAACACACTTGTCTTTGACCTTCTGCAAATGTATTTAGACAAATTTCAAAGATACATTTTACTTTATGTAATAACTTGGTATTTCCTGGTTGCTGAAGTTTCAAGGTTGTATTCAAAAAACAAAACAAAACTAGACCAAATAAAGAAAATCTCCACATCTTGTTTTAATGACTAAATGAGTATCTGAAGTCTATGTGACTCCCAAAATTCTTTAAGTAATCAAAAGCAAAACAAGAAACAAATTTGTAAAACTAGCAAATTTACCAAAAGTGCAACTCTTTAAGACAAGACTATTTTTATACAGGGTTAATGTTATTGGTTTAAAAAGAGTTTAAAATGAAAATACATTCCAATTTCATTTTGTTTTTAACCAATGGCATATGTATTTCTTGAATAAACCTCAAGTTTCTGCTCTTGCTGAATACATGTACTTAGTTTCACAGATTAACTTTTAAAAAAGAACCTATCAATGTGTTTAGAAAATACTCCTTTATTTGAGGGCATAATTGAACTAAATGGGCACAAGAGAGGTAAATATGGCATCAAGAGGTTAGAAGTGAGTCCAAAATTCTAGATTCCCCTCTCATTGCCTCTGTGACCCTCAATAGGTTAATTCTAGCATGTATAGAATGGGAATAAACAAGAGTACCTATCTCAGAGGGTTATTGTAAAGATTAAATGATTACATTACTGTAAAGTACCTGAAGCTTAGTATTTCCTACTATTACTAAGGCAGAGGTGCTTATGTTACTTTCCCATATTAGAAAATAGTGGTTCTGATGGATGGTCTGATTCTCTTCTCCCAGCTCTCTTCATTTGGCATTCAGAAGTGGAAGGCATTGTCTTTACTTATTCATTCAACAGACAACCGCTGGGTGCCCCTGTTGTGAAAAGCTGCTGGTAGGTGCTGCAGGTGAATGCAAGGCTGTGGCAGTGGGGCCCACCCTGTAGGTCTCTAATCCAAGAAGGATAGACAAAGACCCAGGCACTACTACAACCAAAGAAAGCAAAAGCCCGGCCAAACAAGACATTATCCTCCAGGTCTCAGAGCAAGACAAGGCATTTTGGATAAGGTTACCAGGAAAATCCTTGCAGTTGAGGTGAGATTCAGAAGAAGGCAGAAGAAGGTTAGCCACGTGGTTCTGCCATTAACAACACATCTTCTGTTCCCAGCTGAATTTGAAGCTGAGATTCTTGTGAACTCACTGCCTTCCTGAAAGTAGATTCTCATGCTGCTCCCTCTACACACCACCCATCAACCTGCCTGGAGATTCTTCTGATGACAAGTATTTAACATGCAATCCACAGAATGTTTCATGATGCTCTTTCTGTTAAACGAAGCCGTGTCTCAGGAGGCCATGCTTCACACAATGCAGTGCTCTTTAAAAACATGTAATGGGAGTCATAAATGAAATGTGACACTTTGGATATGTGACATTTGGACACATTCAGAAATGTGACACTTGAGGATAATGGCAGTAAGAGCCTTCTCCTAAGAGGCTGGTATTTTTAGGATATAAACACCAGGCTGGGGAAGACAGTCTTGCAATTATGGCTTACAATGTGCTTACCAGTTAATAAGTAAAATATTAGCAATCACATGCCTGATATGTGGGGATCTCAAGGGCAAAGATGTGTTAAAACATAACCAAACACGGAAGGACCTTGGGAAAGAAATCTGTATCAGACATGTGGGCTTCATTAAGGGAAATGCCTTCAGAAGATTATTTTTCCATGTTATGAGAAAAAATCTGAACAAGTAAGTAAATTGTGAGCAAGGGATATTGGCTTCCTGTGGACTAACCACTGGGAGAAGTTGTGAGTTAATGTGGAACCCAAGGTCACTGATCTCAAGAGGTCGTGAGTCTCCCAGGTCTGTTTCCTGCCAAGGTCATTCTCACTATGAAAAGCATCCTAGGTGTATATGCAGGGATCTGCTTTGTGAGGAGGTAACAGGCAAAGTAATTCAAATACCTTTCAAATATTTAAATATATTTACATTTAAAAACATAGGAAGATGTTGCTCTTACGTGTATAACGGTTATAATTAATGTTCCCTGACTGCTTGAATTATATTTGGTGCCGAATGGAAAATTTAGAAAGCCGTCCTTAAATCTTTTGTTTCTCTAAAATAAGGAACAGGTAAATATCAACACATAATTTTTTTAAAAAATTGAGATGAAGTCTATCTTGCTCAGACTGTTGCATAAACTGAGAGCTCTTTACCTGGGGTTTTTGGATATAACTGAGAGGCCTGGGATACCCTTTGCCCTGTTCCCTGTGGGCTATTGATCTTTGATTTTGGAATTTCGAGACATAAATATTCTCTCTATCTCTCTTTCTCTCTCTCACACGTGCACACGCACACACATACACACACACACACAAAATGTATATTCATGCACATGCATTCTGTAAATATGTCATAGGTAAAACTGCAAACATACTTAAATAAATATGCGGATTTTGCATCCTCTTAAATTTTGACATTGCAGGTACATATTACCAGATTGGAAACCAGATTGTATCTGTATATCTCGTGTTCTTAGCCTAGAGTCTTGCAAATGGCTATCATTTAGTATGTTGACTGAATGCATGAATGACGATAATAAGAGGAAAATATTTGTAGATCTGGAGGCCAATAAACACCAAAAACATCTCTCAGATATTCAGCTTCCTCCAAACTCACAAAGCTGTTGTAAACATGGGAAAATGTATTGTGAAAGTCCTTTGCAAACTGCAAGCCCCATAAGAATATAAGGTAACGTTATTCTTCTAGTTGCGATTCTGCCTCTGAAGGACATGGCCATTTGTGGGCAGCAATGTCTGTGTGTCTGGATATTGCCGCTGTTTTCTGAAGGGCGGGGCGTTTGACATTGTCCTGGCACTGACTGGGATTGTTGCTCCAGCTGGCTCCGATCTTTCCTTTTCTCTATGGACGGACTGTTTAGGAGTTCCAAGGGCACAGAGTAATGGGAGATTTAGTCTTGGAAGAACAGTAGTGAGAAAAGATCACTTAACCTGACTGAGGTACAGTCATACCTGAGAGTAATCAATCATGACCACAGTAAAAAAATATCATAGGACTTTCAAATATTTTGATCACAATCTCTAGGAAGAAATAAACTTCATATAGTTGTGAACATGCACACACCCACCCATGTTCACATTCCACACACACATAGACTAAAACAAAGTTTCATAAAACAATAGTTGCACTTCATGTATGCAAGGAGATCTGACATTTTTCTATTCTGTGCTTTCCTATGCAGAATTACTAGTCATATCCACTGACTTCACAATCCCCCAGTTTAAAAAACACTGTCTAGATAACACTCAGTTATATCAGATGCATCTGGTGAAATAATGTAAAAATGGAACACAGTTCTACAAGTCTGACACTTGAGCATCTTCTTAGATTCATCCTCTCTTCCAGTCCCCATATTCTCACCACACAACCCCAGGACCTGCTGAATTTGACTCTTAAATATATTTCTTAAACTCCTACCCTCCTCCCCAACTGTGTCTCCCAGCCTTGGTTTACCAAGGGTGTCCAATATTTTGGCTTCCCTGGACCGCATTGGAACAAGAAGAACTGTCTTGGGCCACACACGAAATATACTAACAGTAACCATAGCTGATGAGCTTAAAAAAAAATTGCAAAAAAAATCTCAAACTGTTTTAAGAAAGTTTACGAATTTGTGTTGACCCCCATTCAAAGCCGTCCTGGGCCGCATGTGGCCTATGGGCTGCGGGCTGGTCAAGCTTGGTTTAGACCATCCTTTTGTCTAAACCAGGACTTCTGCCACAGAACCCAACACCTCCCCTTGCTTCAGTTCTTGCCTTCCTTGAATCTCTAAGGTGAAACTATGCTCATTCTCCTTCAAACTCCTTCGTGTCTCCCTGTCACCTGCAGAATAAAGTACCAGCCCATCCCCACGGCTCACAGTGCCTCCCTGCCTGGCCTCTGCAAGCTTCTGGGGCTCATGTGCCATCACGTGAAGCTGCCTGGAGATCCCCCGTCCCAGGCTGCTGCTTCGTATCCCACGCTTGTGCTTACACTGTTTCCTGTCCATCTGTCACATTCCTCTCCCTTTTTTCCTCCTGACTTGCACACATTTATCTCTATGAAGATGTAGCTCAGACATCATCTCCTGAATCCTGGGTTAGCAGCTCTTTTCTGGACTCTCACACATCCATTACGGTCTTGAGATTATACTGAAATGTTCTTGTGACACATCTCTCTCCCCCATTAGACCACAGACCTTCAAGGGCACAGGTTGTCTTAATTACTTTTTGTACCACTGGTGCCCAGCAGAGTGCTTGGAGCTCGGCATGTGGTCAAGACATGCTGAATTAAGGAGAAGCTGAGAATGATTTTCTTGTTCTGCATAAATCTCAAGCCAGAGTGGACTGCAGCCCGTTTCTTTATTCCCTGCAGAGGACTTGCATGGTGCTGCTGGTCAAAGATCTTTGGCAAAGGAAACTTCTGCCCCCCTGAAAAAGCTCTCCTGCTCTCTTTTCCCTCTCCTGCTCTGATTTAAAGAGGCCGAAGGGTGCACGCCAGGTTTTCATAGCTTTCAGTTCCGCTCTATTAGAGAAGCCTGCTGCTACTGCTGCTGGGGCTGAGGTTGGGCTGAGTGCCAGGCCCCAGCCTTAATCAATAACAAGAAATCTCATGCAGCTTAGAGGTGTTCCAACTATGGGTTTGGAATAGTGCTGGGAAGTCAGATTTGGTGAGGGGAGTCATCTCCAATCTGCAGGAACTTGGGAGGAGGGTGACGAGCAAAGGATTAGGTCACCTCAAGAGTAGGTTTGAGGCCGGGTCCTGTCAGGACCACCCAAAAATCTCCCTGAATATGCTCTGAAGAAAACCCAATTCCCCCAGGCTGCCCCACTGACACCTCCAAGGGAATTATCCAGCCAGTCCAAGATGGCATTCCTGGGGAATTGGAGACGTGGGATGCTTTTAATTAGAATACAGTAATGCCTCCCTTCCCTTGAAATGTAACCACATTCAGCTATGACTATGCCAGTTCTCAGGAGCAGAGGAAAAATGAATGATGTAATGGGATGAGTTTTTTGAGGCATTGAACTAGTTGGGCCTGCCTATAAGACTTTTCTCTCTACTCTACTTTAAACTTCTTCCTGAGGTGTAGCTTATTGGACACCTCCTCCAAGAAGCCTTTCCTGAACCTTTCTGATACTTCCAGCCACCTCTACTTTAAGATCTCTGGCCATCTTGAATTCTTGTCCTGTTTGATATAACTGTGACTTCTATCTCTTTTAGAGTTACAGTGTGAGCTCAGTGAATCCGCAAACAGTAGGGACAGTCTGTGGTGGTTGTGGCTGCTGTGGCTATTGTTAAGAATGAAGATACAGGCCCGTGCAGTGGCTCACGCCTGTAATCCCAGCACTTTGGGAGGCTGAGGCGGGTGGATCACAAGGTCAAGAGATCGAGACCATCCTGGCCAACTTGGTGAAACCCCCTCTCTACTAAAAAATACAAAAATTAGCTGGGCGTGGTGGTGCGTGCCTGTAGTCCCAGCTACTCAGGAGACTGAGGCAGGAAAACTGCTTGAACCCAGGAGGCGGAGGTTGCAGTGAGCCGAGATCGCACCACAGCACTCTAGCCTGGCCCCTGGTGACAGAGCAAGACTTTGTCTCAAAAAAAAAAAAAAGAATGAAGACACAAACAAGCTTGTATATGGGCATGGTTGCTGCTGATGATGATGGTTGATGGCCATTGTCGATTTTCAGAGAAAGGAAAGTGGACAGATGTAGGGGAAAGAAATGGATGCCCCTAGTGGATAAAGGAAAGGTAGGAACAGATAAGGGGAAAAAGACAGCAAGTTGGAATTAAAAACAACCTTTCAGAGGAAGGTGGCCACGGGGATCTGGCTGAGTGTAAGTTTCCTCTATGTGTCCCTGAGCAAGTCTCAATACATCTCAAAGCCTCAGTTTTTTCATTGCAAAATGTGCACAACATTATATATACTTTTCAGAGTCATTGTAAGGATGTGAGAAACTCCAGAACAAGGAAGAGCATTTCGTTTACTGCTGCAATCCTGGTCTCTGGCACAGGGATTTGAACTTGACATTACGTTCACATTTGTGAAACAAAATGAATTATGTAACTTGACAGCGCAGGCACTTAAAAACTGGAGCTATTCTTATTAGCTGAAATGAGTACTTTTCACAATTTCCACTGATGTACCCAAATGGGGGAAGAAAATAAACAGGTACTCCCAATGGATTCATTTCTTTCCTCCTATATGTAGCTGGAATATAACATGCCCATACTTCTTTTAACGTGACAAAGCTTTCCTTCAAATTTTAGGAAAATCTATGCTCCAGGAAAATGGACTGTCCTGTAGCTTCTAAACACTCCTGCCATCCTGCCTTGTTGAAGAGGCTCAGGTGTAAATTTAAAAGAGAAATCTCATTTTTGGAGAGATAATCTATTTATTTCTAATAACAGTCTCCCTGTATGCCAGAAAATGTGGGGTTTAGGTAAATTCTAACTCCACTCTAGACATTGATGGTGGACCCAGGCATTTGCCCTTAAAGAACAGAGACACACACAGGCGACTAGTGGCTGATGTTGGCTAAGCTCAAGATCACAGGATGAAGGCAGAATCTCTGCTCAGCAACATAAGGTGCTTGAAAATAAAGACTTTCTTGAATATATTTCCATAACATAGCAGGACATCTTATGCTTTGAAGGAAATTTATGCATTTTTTAGGAGTGCTACCAAC